GCAAATATGTACCCACCAAAAGACATGAGAAAAATTTCACAGAAGAATTGTTCACAATAGCAAGAGAAAAAAACTTGAAAAATGTCCATCAACAGAAACAAAGAATAAGTAAACTATGATAGGTTTGTCCAACAAAGTTACACAAAAATTTGATGGAAGAATTATTGCTACATATAACAGCCTCAATAATTGTCATAAACACAAGATGTGATCAAAAATATGATGAATGTTTAAATATTTTTGTTACAGTAAAAAATACATTGCCATTAATCACCTTCAAAATGCTCCCCCTTGCTTCACACTTATACCATTGTTCTTCCCACTTCTGAAGCAGTTCTGGAAATCTTCTTCATGAGTGTCTTTAATTGTGGTGTCATGGCTGTTTAAATGTCCCAAATTGATTCAAAATGTTTGTCTTTCTTGGTCATTTTGACTTTATGGAAGAGCCAGAAGTTGCAGTGCCAGCTCCAGTGAATAAGGAGGATGAGGACACACGATGATGTTTTTACAAGCCTGAATTTCTGTTGATGGCACCCAGCAGCAGCATTCACCATATTTGTTTTTTAATCACAACTCATAAAGACACAAGGACCTCCAGAATGGCTTCAAAAGTGGCAAGAATGATGGGCCAAATGTGTTCAAAGTGCGGGGTGGTATTTTGAGGGGGATTAATGACAATGTGTCTTTCACTGTAATACATTTTTTAAAAATTGTTTTTAAAACTTTAAAAAAATTGCTATATATTGTCATCACCCCTTGTTTCACAGAAAGAATCTCAACATAAAATATAATCGCACCATATTTTATATATATGATTATGATATATATTATTAATTTATACCATATGTTCTCATGATAATGGCTACATTTCAAAAAGCAGTTACAAAGGAGGAGGTGTCTGGGATGCTGGTAATGTTTGACTTCTTTATATGGTGTTTACATGATTGTGTTAGCTTTGGATTCCTCATTAAACTCCATACTTATGATATATGGATTTTAAATACAATATGTTTCAATTAAAGTTTTTAAATAAGATTTGTGTGAGGCAACTACTTTCCCCAGTAGTGGAAAATTTACAACTTTAAATTCATAAATTAGAAATGACAAAATCCTGAACATCAGTAAGCTGAAAAAGAAGCTAAAGGACAAATAAAAGTTAAATACAAACAAAGTATGAGGAAGCAAAGAGCAGAAGTTAATAAAATAGAAAGCAAATATATAAGAAAGAGAATTCAAGAAACCAAAAGGTAGCCTAGAAAAGGCTAATCTAATAAACTCTCTAAATCCAATTGTGAAAAATGAGAGGTGAGGTGAAAATACCAGGATTGAAAAGGGAATTGTCACTATAGATCCCGCTGCATGTGAAGATGATAAACAACTTTATGCCAAAATATTTTCAAGTTTAGATTAAATTAACGTATTTATGAAAAAATAAAGTTTACAAAAATAAACAAGAAATTACAGTATGAATAATTCTGTTACTAATAAAGAAATTTAATTTCATGATTTAAACTTTTCCACAGAAAATTTTAGGCACAGACAGTTTTACCAGTGAATTCAATCATATATTTGAAAAAGCAATTTTAAAAATGCAAAAAATAGGGAAAAAAAGATGATAGAGAGCTAGAGAACCACTAACTCATTTAATAGTTGCCAACATAACCTTGGTACAAACCCTGATAATAAAAGACTGACCTCGACTGAAGAACATAGAGGCAATAATCTACTATTAAGATGTCTTAATTGGTTGTTTTTATTTGGTTTGAATATCATTTGAGTCTAAACAAAACAGTAGTAATCTTTGCTTAACGATTCTAAAAAGTAACAACAATATGCTTATATTCAGAGAGTACATTTTAGGGTATGTCGTTAGGGTTTAACTATGAAAACAGGATATATGTAGATGGCAACCAGATGGCTCTAGGAACAGCCAAAATTTTTAGAGTGATAAAAAGGCCTTTCTCTTTCTTTGCAGCAGAGTTTGAGATTGCATATTCATTCCTAGATTCTAAAACAAGTTCCAGATGAACACATAATGTTTATACTTTGAGGAGGAAGTTACTATCTTATTCTTTCTTTTTCATAAATGCAATATAAAAGAAACATGTAATTCATTTATATCCTGAACCACTTTCTTATCCCATCAATTAAAACTGGGAATAAAATAAGCAGCCACTTTTATCATTTAGCTTTGGTTTTTAAGAATGACTCTTAACAACAAATTCCTTACATACCATAATACCTTAGTCAGTATCTGGACTGTGCTCCATATTCTTTTGATGCTCTGCCAAATGCTAATATTTCTGATAGTCATAAGATAGGCATTTGAGGAATATAAAAAAAAACTTTTAGCAATTTAGCCCATCTTCATCCCAAACCAGCTAACTGTATTTAGTCTCTGGAATATTATTGTTTCCTCCAACTGGAAATTTTAAAGACAGCAAATATCAATAGGTAGGGCCGGGGATTTAACTCAGTGGTTTCGCCGTCTGCTGCGCAAGCGCAAGGACCCGAGTTCCATCCCCGGTACCAAAAAAAAAAAAAATCAGTAGGTCACTAGTACTATCAGACATGATGCCAATACTTTGCCATTTATATATTTTAAATGTATTGGTTTTCTCTTCTGTTCACTCAAGTTATAATGCTGGGTTTTGTTCCTTTTTACTAGTTTGAAGTTTTCTATTATACAACAAATGCTGGTAAACTAATTTTTTTTAAACCTGAATATATTTCATTTGCTCTGAAAATCTTCATAGTCCTAGTACTCTAAAGTTTTTTAGTGTGGTTATCAACTTCAAAGTAAAAAAAAAATTAAGAAAATAACGAATCTATGGGAAAATCTACTTATGGAATATATGTAAACAAGAACACCTTGAATGCCAAAAATGTTCTGCCACCCTGTTAAAATAAGTAGAAATTTATATATCAAATGTATCTTACATACTTACCTGAAAAAGTTATATAGCCCATCAAGAATCTTAATGGAAAGAATTGACATGAGACACATGTTGTCTGTTTCTTGTGCAATAAGTGAATCAAGTTTGCTCATGTCTGTTAAAATATTACCAACAGAAGAGATCTAAATTAAAAAACCATACTGTCCTGAATTCTTAAACTGACAAGTTTTTGTATTATAAACTATGGTAATATACACTTTAAACTTAAAATCAGAGAAGAGTATAGGATTTGAACAAAGTTATGAACACATATGCATATGTGTACATATGTATCAACACGATTCTATATGACTTAGAATCATTGTTAAATTTCATGGTTTTCAAATATTTTTGTTTAATAAAATTCGTGTGTTAAATATTTGATTTCTTAAATTTTGTTGTTGTTATGAAGGGACTCAATGAGTACTATAACGAGCATTCTTTGCTATAAAATCAAGAATAGATCGATATGCAATTGAATAGGAAGAAGTAAATAATAAATGCCTGTGTGAACTACAAATACCTCAGTTGTACAGAAGTTATTTTATTCATGATCTTTAAATCATTATTTATAAGGAAATATATAGCCCACAAAAAGTTATTAGCAAAGCAACAGATCATCTAAAAAATAAAAAATCAACAATGATGAGAAAAGATTGCTCAGCTGGATAAATGGAATAACACCATAGTCCTATGTTTAAAAATAGTAGATCTCTGTTACTTTGTTTAAAGTAACAAGTTTTTAAATGTAGTGGAAGGGGAATATTTTTCTCTTTTATTTCCCTTCCTTTCTTTCCTTCTGAATAGCTAATTTTCTTCTAAATTCCCAGGTATATTGGTCTTCCAATAACTTACACTGCCTTGCTGTAGGCAAAATGTGTTTTTCAAACAATTTCTGTTTCCCAAACCTCAAAGGAACTATAGGTGTTCTCATCTTTTTTTGTTACAGAAAGCAATGAAATAAAACAAATAGTAAATTTTCTGGATAGGAAGTGTTCGTATATTAAGAATTTAATACCTGAAATTTTAACATTTGAGTGCACCAATTTTCTCCCCTAAAATTAACTGAGATCCTGAAAGTAACATTCACTACAAATTATACAATGTAATGATGTGTGATCCTAGTTATCCCTTTATCATCTACAGAACTGAACTCATATTTAGCCCCCAAATACAGCATTGAGATTTTTCATACTATTCTAAGGCCACAAAATCTCTCCACTATGTTGCTTCATGAGCATATGCCAGGAGGAAGAAAATAATCACTGAAAACACTCTGAAGCAACTATTAGCCATATGTACACATAGAAATATGGTTAAATTTTTTTTCCCTCTATATTGAACAGTTACCATCCAATTCATATATTTCTATACTTATTCATTCATTCAATAAGCATTTGCTAAACATATAGATTGAATGCTATTGTATCATGTGGCAATATTAAGTGCAAAAAATCTCTAATGGATGTAAATCTATTTTATTTGTTGCTAACATCATTATTTGAAGGAGAATAATCAAACTCCACTTTTCCCCTTATTGACTAAAATAGTAAAACAAGAAATACTTCATTTTCCTTTCCTAATTTCTGCCTCCCTCCTTCTCTTCTGTCCATGATTTCTTTAAGAAGTTAGAAAAGCAATTGTACAAAATTGCTTTAAAACTGCTTCCCTGACTCCATTAGAAAGGCTTTGAAATGCCAATAGTCATAATGGATAAACTGAACTATTGGGGTTTTGTTTTGTTTTGTTTGTTTTTTGGTACCAGGGATGGAACTTGGGACCTTGGGCTTGCGAGGAAGGCAGTAAAATGAACTATTGGGATCATTTAACTTTGATTAGCTGCATTACTCTCAAATATGGTATTTACTTATTTGCTAAGTATATTTGGCTTCTAAAATAAGTAAATTAAATCCAAGTTGAGTGGATTTGAATAGTAAGTTCACCCTTGAACACACAAATGCTTCTGACACAAAATTATTCATTGTTCTTCTTTATAAAATATATTACCAAAACATAAAATAAAAAGTTGTCAAGTTCTATACCCAATAGTATTATCTTCTATCAGTACAAATAAGTGTCAAGGTATGTTTATAATTTCTATGTACTTACAAACACTGCTGTAGAAGCATTAGCCATATTTTGGAGTGCCTTTCTCAAAGAAGACTATCGTACCAAAATGGTATTAACGAAAAGCGTAGGTTTGAAAATACACCACAGTTCATTAAATGATGCATCATTCAAGATCCAAATCAAATACCATTTCTCTCAAAGCCTTTTTCTTATTCCCTCCTCCCCACCCAGCTGATCTTTCATGTTTTTTTCTCTTCTTTCAATACCTACTGCAATTTATTTTTACATCTCTTGTGGTTATCATCATCTTTTCATAATGTATTATAATTGTTTGAATAAATACCTTCTCTTCCATGATATTTCACTCATAGAATAAAAAGACTCATATTTTTCATCCTTCATTTTAAGTATCAGAATACTTTACAGATATATGTTACCCACGAAACATTTTGGCACTTTATTACCTTTAATGTTAGAACTTTGTTACATACCATTTATTTTTAATAGGTTTTAATGTTTTCCTTTGCCTCTCAAAAATAAGCTTCAAGCTCTTTTGAGGGCTATGACAATCTTCTAATACTTTTATACTCCCAGAATTCTTGACAAGATATGCTAAAAAGAAGTGTTCAATTGATTAAATGTTACCAAAGGCTCACCTAAGAAACATTTCAGAACATAACAGCCATTCTCCTAGAGGAATCAGATCCCATAAAATTTGCTTACGATGGCATTGACATTTGCATGGTCCCCTTTCCTATTCCGAATCTGAATACAGGAGATTGGCAGATTCAGTCCTACACCAGTGGCCAGATTTCTTAGGTCAGCAGCATTGTATTCCCCATGCAACAGCAAATATCAGAGCCAAGTCCCAGACAGACTCAATAGAAATATGCTGAGAAAGTCTCTCAGCTATAGTGATATCTATTGTGACTGATTTCACGCAAGGATTAGAAGCTACCTGCCTTCTATGCCTCAGATCTTCTGGAGTGTGACAGCAGCTCTGAGAGCAAGAAACTGGGCTTTGGCTCAACTTGATACACATGAAGAAAAATAATCACCTCCGGAACAGAAAGGAAATGCAGGACAGGGCAATTACTAAATACAATTTCTGAGCAGTAAGCTGCCCTCCTTGTTCCCAAACATCTTCAAAGTTTGGAACGACCTGCGATATAAAATTACTCAATAGCACACCGAGAACAACAGAGGAGGAAAGTGGTGGGTCTCCATGGTCCCAAACCACTACCATCACTCTCTGCTTAACTGCATCAGTAGGAAGAACCAAGCATACAGTACGGAGCTCTCCCATATTGGCTGAAATTCTGAAAAGGCTAGAGTTAGAAGCCTGAGAGATGTGGTAGGAGAGCCAGGCATTGGAACCACTGTCTGCATCCTCTGCTACCACTTTTGTGACCAAGTGTCCAGTTCTGGCAGAGTGGGGCACAATTTCCACAGGGATTGAGCCATTTCTGGGCAGGGGAAACAAGATAACTGGAGCATTGTCATTCCTGTCTACTACAAACAAGTTCGCAGTCGCTGTTGTGCTTCTAGAAGGAATGCCACCATCCCTTCCTTCTACTTGGAAACTAAATCCCCTGAGTTGCTCAAAGTCAAAGGAAGTTTTGGCAGTGATAGCACCACTGGATGGTTTCACTGCCACCAAGCTGGTGACTAGCATCCCTTCAGAGATAATGTCCAACAGCTCATAAAAGACAAGGCCATTCTTCCCCAAGTCCAGGTCCTGGGCAAACACCTGGCCTAGAGAGGCCCCAGGGCCATTGTTTTCAGCCACAAAAAGTTCCTGTTGGGGTTGAAGAAATCTTGGTGGACATCAGCAACTCACATAGTGAGGGTCCTTTGGGTGCTGAGTGGGGGTGAGGCACGATCTGAGGCCGTAACCAGGACCTGGTATTCACTCATCTGCTCCCGGTCCAGGGGCCCATCATTCAGCAAGCTGTAGTAGTTGTCAAAAGAAGACTTCAGCTGAAAAGGGCCTCTGCTAGATATACTACAAATGATTCTACTATTGGGACCATGGTCCTCATCCTTTACACTAAGTAAAGCAATCACTGTGCCAGGGGCAGCGTCCTCAGGTACTGGGCTGGAGAGAGTCATGAAATTCACCTCAGGGGCATGATCATTCACGTCAGTCACTTCCACCAGCAGTTTGGCAGTGCTTGCTAGACCAAAGGCACCTTCATCCCTCACCTCAATGTATGCCTCCAACAGCACTTCAGGTGCACCTAGGGAAGCTGCTACCTGCACCTCTCCACTTTTAGGGTGCACGTGAAAGAGGTGTCTCAGCTCTGCTCTAGTGCTATTGCTTAAGGAGTACCAGACTTCTCCATTGGAACCTTCATCTGGATCCGAGGCCTGAACTTGGAATAACACAGTCCCACTGGGAGCAGTCTCTGGAACCTTGGTGCAGTACACGGAGCGCTCAAACACGGGCGAGTTGTCATTTGTGTCCACCATGATGACTGTGACTTGTGTGTGTCCAGAGAGCGTAGGCAGCCCGCTATCCAGGGCTGTGAGCACCAGCAGATGAGCAGCGCGCTGCTCCTGATCTAGAGCTTTCTCAAACACCAACTCCGGGTATTCGCCGCCATCGACCCGCGACCCCATGTCTAGGCGAAAGTGCTGGTTGGGGCTTAGGGTGTAGTTTAGCATCCCGTTGCTTGCCTCGTCTGCATCTTGGGCATTGTGCATTCGGGAGAGTAAAGCGGGCTCCAGGTGTCAGGAACTCCGGGATGAGCAGCTGCACGTCGCCGGCTGGGAAGAGAGGTGAGTTGTCCTTGGTGTCCAGGACGTGGACACGCATCTTGTGCAGCTCCAGTGGGTCCTCGAATATTAGTTCATAGGTCAAGACGCAGGCAGCTTTGGTGCCGCACAGCTGCTCGCGGTCCGCCGGCTCTCGGACCACCAAACTACCGCTGCTTAGGTCCACCTCGAAGTAGGGCTCACTGTAGCTGGAAAGGAAGCGAAAGTTTCGCAAGGACAGAGCGACCGCTGACAGGTTCAAGTCCGCAGCGACATTGGCTACCGCTAAGCCCCGCTCCGTCTCCTCCAACACCGAGTACTCCAGCTGTACCGCGGCAGCGCCGCAGGAGACCCACAGGCACAGAACCGCCACCCTCCAGCCCACCATCCTCCCTTTCGGCGTCCACGCTCCGCCAGCGATGACCTGGAACCATGCTCCGGAGAACACGAGGCGCCGGGAGGAGCGAGCTCTTTGGGCTGTGCGACTGCGGGATGCTAAGTTCCGCCTCCGGGATGCGGGAACCTCCCGGGGCTGGCGGGCTAGGAGGTGGGCTTGCGAGACTGGAGGCTTGGCAGCCGTCTGGGAGCGCGGAGCCCGCTCGGCGCGGAGGGGCAGCGCCCCCTAGGGGTGCAGAGCCGAGGTAAACAGCCCGGGCTGGAAAGTGCGGTCTGCAGCCTGGGCTGAAAGGGACCTCGCCCCCAGACTGGGTGAGGACAAGGAAGACGCTCGGGCCGAGAAACTAGCCTGTCTCTCCCTAAACGGGCGTTTCCTAAGAGACAGTGCCCTGGGATTGCCGAGGTCTCAGCTTGCACCACCTGTTTATGAAACTGCTGGGAATAGGGCTAAGCCGGTTGAGCCCCTCCCGCTAGCTGTAAGCCAAGGGTCGCGTCGAGTCCCAGCGGCTTATACATGGGGTGACCCCCTGCCTTGCCCGGCGAGCGGGGGGAACTCCGCGCAGAACAGCAGGGAGGAGACTGCGAAGGCGGATCTGTGAACGTGGCTGACCACGCCTTGTAAACCCCCAACTAAGCGCTTTCCCTGGTGGATTCCTAGGCTCTCTGCTGCCTTAAGAAAGGGCACGTAGGGTTATCTACCCGCTTCAAACTTCCTGCAGACTCTGGCTTTTTGAGGCAGCAGAACCAGCAAGCGCAAGGCTCATGATTCTGCACTCCACTTTTCTTTGAGGCCGTAGTTTCTTCTTCACCCGAGGGGCTGTACTGAGAGTGTTCTGCAAACAGCTCTAGACTCTCTGGCTATAAGAGATCTTAAACCACTCACTTCGGAGAACCAGAAACTCAAAGCGGGCAACTTATCTCCAAAGAACATCTGCTAAGATGTGCAGGGAAAACAAACTACTTTTTCTGTAAATCCATTCTCTGTAAATATTTAGGGGAAAAAAAGTAATCAGCATGATAGATGCCCATACTTTCTCCAAATTCGTTTTTAATCCTGTCTTATGCACTGAAACTGTGACAGATTAGTTTTATAAGAAAAATCTCTGCAACACAATTAACACCTCCAAATTCCTCCTAACACCTTACAAAGAGTTGCTTTCCCTAAGAGGTGTGCTGAAAAGACTGGTTTAATTATTTAAACACTAAGGTCCGCACTCAAAATCTTTCCTTTAATTCCTTAATCTTTCCTCTAGTTGCAGTGTTCAAAGCCCTATTATTTAAACTAGGTGATACATGTAGGTTAATTACACATGTCTTGCAACTTTCCTGTATGCTTGAAATATTTATCTTATTTATCTGGTACCAGGGATTGAACCCCGGGCCTCATACTAAGCTACATTCCCACCCCTTTTTATTTTTTTCATTTGAGACAGAGTCTCACGAAGTTGTCCAGCTGGCCTCAAATATCTTGCCTCAGCTCCCAAAGAGCTGGGATTACAGGCATGTGCCACTGCACCCAGCATGTTTGAATCTTTCTATAGTATTTTTGAATTGCTGATTAAAATACTGAAGAGTAGAACAGCCCTAACACTCGCCTCTTAAGACCAAAGTGGAATTGGAAAGCCCAGTGTTCACTGAAAAGCACTTCTCCCCCTGAATATCACAAACCTATTCTTATTTCTTCCAAGGAACTAGAAAGCCAGGATGTAACACAAGATGACATAAATAGTAAATAGGGTCTAACTAGTTTGCTTTAGTGATTAAGGAACTAAATCTCAAAATTAAAGCAGGAAACATGTACCATTAGGTAGTTGCAAAAGTGTCATTAGGAGACCTTACTAGGATGTGAAATTGCTCATAAAAAGTGAATTTATTCCTCACTAAATTTCAAAACCAAAATGAATTATTTGCTTCAGTGCCAGAGATTAGGATTTGTACATTTTGTCTTAATACCACTAGCCAAGCTAATTGCTTTGGGATGAAAGGTTATTTTTTGTATTTTTCCATTTGCAACATATGAAATACACCTGGAGAGATGTACCAGCTTTTGGAAGGCATCTTAATTTAAGACTTGCAGTCAAGCTTCCAGTTATGTACCAGGTTTAGTAGTTCTGAGGAGTTTCTAGGAGGGCAGTAGATGTGGGCATAGCTTACAGTGTGAGGAAAAGAGAAAACTCATACAGAGAATCAGCATGGAAAATCTCCCCCTTCACAAATCTTCCCTTTTTCCCATTTCTCCATTTAAACTGCTGTTGATGTCTGTTTTCAAAAGGCGACATTTGTGTCAAGAATAAGTGAGATCTTGTTGGGATCTGTTTTATCATATGCCTCCCTAACTCTAGGTATAACAGTGCATTCTTGTTCAAATAAATTTGGATTTGTGGAAAAGTAATATTTAAAAGAAAATATATCCCAACATGAAGAAGGCTAAAGATTTTTTCTTTTGATAAAATTACAAGGTAAATATTAAAATCCTGAATTAACAAGATTTTGCTTCAGCAGAACCTATCATTGCTAATAGTTCAGTTTGTCATTTTATGGAATTTTCCATAGTTTCTTCTAATTCAGGGGATTTCCAAACTTTTATTTAAGCACAAGTATAACTTTGAGTGGAAAGTATGCAAAAACATAATCCTAATTTCTGCTTGGGACATATTGCCAAGCTACTCCCATAAAGTCCTTTCATAAAACTTATCCTCCAGTTGTAAATTCCACATTTCTAGCCATATTGCATAAGCCTTTATTAAAGATCTTAAAGCCAAAGAAGAAAATAGTAAATCTGATACCTACCAAAGAGCCTGTCAGGAAATGAATATTGTACTTTAAACAAGATTTTCTTCATGGTTAAGATTATACCCTGTAAGTGTATTAAGTAGTATGGAAATTAAATTAACATGATATCAACATCACATCAAGCAACTTTCAATCCTGTAAAATAGCTTAACTATGTGCCCAAATCAAGTCTAATAGAGTGAGAGTTCCTCAAGGGATAGAGATGATTATCATTAGATTTTGTCTCTCAAGTTTCTAGCATCCTCTTGTGTCCTTTTTTTCCTTAACCCTTTACCAATAATAAATTACTACAGAATATCTTTGTTAAATTTCTACTACCAAGGAACTACTTTTTCTCCATGACATACCCTCTAAAGCATTTTGGACTTTTCTTCATGAATCTACACTTTAATTCTATGCTGTATTCACTTATTACTTTTTATAATCATGTGCCAATTCTCAAAAACTACCTTCCTATAAAAATCTTTGTTCTATTCTGTCTTTAAATGTGACCCTCAGAACCTAAAGACATACTCCAGGGTAGTCAATCAGCTCCAAAAGGAGATCTATAGCTTCCATTCTAAATACTATATATGTAGGAATAGGGTCCAAAATTGAGTCTGACAGTCAGAGAAAAACACTCCCACTTCCCACTGCTGGTCTTGATCTGCCACTGGCTGAAAATAACTTATATTTACATTATTAGAAGTTGAGTTCTGAAGTTTATTTTAATCTCAATTTTTCAGGAATTACGCCTTTGTATTTTATCTTTTCCATTTTTGTTTTATTGGTCTCTTTGAGGACATTTATTAGAAGTATATTGGATCTCCTTTTTCTGTTTTATTGTGTATATGTGTATGTTTTAAAACCATACTTTTCTAGTTCCATTGAATTTACTATTTCAAATTTCTTTTTCTCAACCTTCTCAAGTACTTGTTCTTGTTCTTGAGTATACACTAGGCAGAGCCTGTTCACATTCTTATTGCTCTCAGTGTGGCCTTAATTTCTGAGATAATTTTATATTTTCTTCCATTTATTTCATGAATTGTGCCAGCTCACTTGTCATAACCTTTTGTGGCCTTTTCATTTTATCCTTGAAACTTTGGAATGCTGTTTTAAATTTTTGGTGCTCTGAGACTATTTTAAATTAAATTTTGGGAAGAGAATGGGAGAAAATATTTGCAAATCATATATTTATTTGATAAGAGGTTAATATCCAACTCGATAGTAAGAGAACAAATTTTAAAATGGGCAAAGGGATGGTGTGAAAGTTAACTGATTGTATCGACTTGATACTAAATTGGATCAGCATATTTCTGGGTGTGGAAAACCCACTCTAGAGAGGACTGTCTCCAGAATGGTACAAAAGAGAATCAAAGAAGAAAGGCTCACTTCTGTTTCTTTGGAAGAACTCCAGTCTTCACCTTCACCTAGAACATTGTCTCCTGTCTTCCAGCACAGACCCTTCACCCTTCTATCACAGGAGCCTTCAGCTTCCTCACACAGACTCCCACAGGGCACTACAGTGCACTCCAGACATTTGACTGGATCCTTCAGGTCTCCGGCACACAAACAGACCTTCTGCACTCTTCCCTATCTGACTCTATGGGTGGCCATTGTAAGCCAATTTTGTAAATTTTTATATATTTGCATGTCTTGCATTAAATCTGTTTCTCTAGTAAGCACTGACTGATACAGATGGGGATGTAGCTTAGTGGCAGAGCAATACCCTGAGTTAGATCCTCAGCACCATAATAAAGAGAAGGATATGGAGGAGAGAAGAAAGGAATAGGTGGGAAGGAGGGAGTAAGAGAGGGTGAAAAAATAAAAAAGGGTAAAGAATCTGAATAGATACTTCTCAAAAGAAGACATACAAATGGCCAACGGGCCTATGAGAAATGCTGAAAATCATGGATCATCAGAAAAATGCAAATTAAAGCCTCAACAATATATCATCTCACACCAGTTACAATGGTTATTATAGAAAAGATGAAGGATAACAAGTATTGGTGAGGCTGTGGAAAAATGGGAACACTTGGACACATTAGTAGGAATGTAAATCAGTACAGCCATTATGGAAAACAGTATGAAGGTTCCTCTCATAGATAAAATTAGAACCACGACATGATTCAGCAAATCCACTACTGGGTATAGATCCAAAGGAAATAATACCAGTACATCAAAGAAATGTCTGCTTTTCCATGTTCACTGTAGAATTTTTCAAAATAGCTTAGACAATGGAATCAACATACTTCACAAATATGTATATGACTGATACATATATATATAATTTTATTTGTGAATTTAAAATATAACTAAGCTCTGTGATTCTTCTGACTAGAAACTGCTAGTCAGTTTCATTTGCTTGGTAGTAAAAGCCAA